AATGCTCAGCTGCTTGTAGTTGTTGTGGGCCCTTCAGTCTCTTTATCAGGTGTGGGGAGCCCCAGCACAGTTGGCTGCAAGTTCTAATACCACATTTGTTTTTCAGTATTTTTTTAAGTGGGTAGACCACCAGTTGGCAGGTCGGTAGGCTCAGGAGCCTACCATTGCTATAAGCCTCCAGCCTTTTGGTCTCTTGTCAGCTCTCTGAGGATTGCAGCTGTGTGTAGCTGGCTTCAGTCACAGGAGCACCCAATTATTTCAGGCTTTGTAAGGTGCGGCAAACCTTCTATGTGGGTCTTTCAGAAGCACAAGTCTTCTGCAGCTGACAAGCCCTCCCACCCACAGGTCCACACACACAGTCAACACAGTCCTGGCCTGTGTGCGTGCTGACCTCCTGAAGTGGACCCAGTCTCTCCACAGCAGGAGCCCCACACGTTCCACCACCACCCCACACTCTCCACCTGCTCCTTGTGCACACCATGCCCAACTTAAATGGTCTCAGTTGCCAGGCTGCAGAGAATCCAGTCACCAATCTATGCAGGCCCACAAGTTGCCTGAGGGCTTGTTGTTGGGTGGGGCCAGTCTCTAGGGTGGGCTGCCTGCCCTGGCTGAGCTGGATTAAATCGGTGCTCTAGTGAGTGGGGCATACCTGGGCTAGCAGGCCCCAGGGAGAACTCCAATGGCGTCTGTGTCAGCACGCCCACACCAGGCCACAACAATGGCCACCGCCAATGTCCCAGTCCCTGGAGAGGTCTCACCTCTCACCGAGATGCACTCAGGGCCTTTCAGGTGAGTCTCTTTTCACCAAAGCATGGTGTACCTTTCTTTCTGGTGATTTTAGGTTGCTTTCTGAAATGGGTGAGTTTGCGTGTGGGCCGTTTAAGAGCCAGATTTAATTTCTTTGTAAACCAGCTTTTCTGGGGGTACACCCCAATGTTTTAGTAGCAAGCAAAGTCAGATATTGTGCCACTCATCTCAATTAGGCTGAGTCCACAAAATGCCCACAGTGGGGGCTCTCCCTGTCTCAGTGCCCCACTCCTTCAGAGAGGGCTGCATACCTTTGGCCTGCTCCCAGGCGGCCGTGAGGCACTGCGGCTTGTGAAGGCGGTGTTTTTCCTCTTCAGAAGGGACTTTCTGCCTCTTCCACCTCCATTAGGATTGTTCTTTGTTGCAGGAGTTCCTCTTATTCAGTTTTCTGTTCTCTCTCTGGGGTAATTTTTTCACGAGTAGTTGTAAATTGGCTGTGTCCATGGGAGGATGTGAGTTCAGATTCTGCTTATGACTCCATCTTGACTTCTCCCTGTGTCACTTCTTGCACATCCATTTGTGGAGTTAGGAATTATACTTGTGTAGTTATACTACACATATGGTAAGCTTGGCCACAGAAAAACATTTCTGCCTCTATCCCAATTCTAATTTTGTAGGGGAGGGACTCTAAATAGCTCACCTGAGTCTTATGCCCACCTTGATCCAATCAACTATGATCATGAGAATAGTGTAATTATTATGGATAATAGGAATAGAGTAATATTGATCATTATGATCATAGGTATAGTCTTATATTGAAACATGGCCACTAGGAACCCACCCCCATGACCATGTAGATTGGGAATGTCATTTCCTAAAGGTAGTGTGCATCATCAGTTTAAAATATCCACTACAACACCACCATTGACTTCTCCCACTCAGTCAATTCAGAGGGTATCATCATATGCCTAATTATTATCTGGTCTCTTCAGCAGATTCAGTTTGAGTCATCTTCTAGAAGTGATGCAGCTCCAAAATCTGACTATTTGAATGCCAAGTCTCTCACTGTCGCACAGTTCCAAAGTTAATATCCTAAATACCCAAATCTTCCTCCTGACATGTACCACTGATATACACAACTCTAATTGGCCTTCCAGGGGTATGGGTAGATATCCCATACAGATATCTACTATACATGTTTCCCAAGAAAAAAATGTAAGGCTGGTGTTTCTAGAATCTTGACTACTAAAGGAGGTATTGAGATGAGTGGTCCTGTTCATTCTACAGCACATGGGTGGATTTTTTTTTCAATTGGGTATTTGAGGATTATTCATGGTTTCTGACTACCATCTGGTTTTGTATGTTTGTCCCACCCAGCCATTTCTGGGTGGAAATATCAGAAAAATATTTTTTTATTTTAAAGATAAATATAAATTTTATTTATCTGATATTTATGAGGAAATACCATATAAATAATCACTATCAATTAATCATTAATTGAATCAACAAATATTTATTAACTGCTTTCTACTACTAGATACTGGAATCAGTATTAAGTATACACTCCATCTAAATCCATCGATCTTAAACAACAAGGTTTTACATTGCACAAGCATCATTATACTGCAAATAATATGATAGCATCACTCTAAAATGCCATGAATATTTCCCCCTCACATTTAACATATAAATACCCTTCCCTTCTCACAAAGCTCACCAGAGAGGGATATATGTTGTTCAGTATATAACAGTATCATTATATTTCAAATAATGCAATGACATCAACATAAAATACTAATGATATTCTCTATCACATTTAACAATACAATCCCTCACCCCAGAAATCTCACTGGAAAGTTTAGACATTTTATACTCTAAAAGAGTATCATCAAAACAAAATAACATATGATGGCAAAATAAAATGTCAACTATCCTTCACCCTGTAACTTTTAAAACTTTTAGTCCCCTTCAATCAATTCAACCACTTCTTCAAAAATAAATTAAACCTCCAAAATATTTACAGAAAATCATCCTTCTTCCCCCTCCCATTATCTTCTCAGTCTTCTCAGATCCAACTACAGTACTTAAATTCCTAGTTGGAGCCCAGGTCTCTTCTTCAGTTGTAGATTGGAGAGCCCTCTGTATAAGGAATGAGCCCTGCTGTTACATTATTCCAACTCCAATCTCTCATGTGTCCTAAAATTTTCAAGTTTTCTGATCTGATACCAAGAATCTCCCTTCTGGCATCTACTCCTGCAGCAGATAACAACAAAAACATATTTCAAATAATGTATTTCTATACAAATCTCTTCCTACTGTCAAATCAGGCTCTGAATCCTCCAGATAAAGTCCAAACATACATGCAAGATTTTTTTATATAGCTTTCATTTAAAATGTTTAATCCCAAGGAGAATGATCTCATTCTCAAGAACTTGGTTTGATTCTGGGTCTCTTTAGCAACTGCACACTGAGATTTCTCCCACTGCGAGTGACAAAGCACCTCCAAAGCCTTTCATGATTTTCAGCTTTGTGAAGTTCAAAGAGCAGCTATCAGAGCATATAAGATTATAACATCAGTCCCACTCTCATGAGTGCTTGTAAACAAAACAAATTCCTGAACTAAATGTGATCCTTGAAGTGGTTAACACTCTAAAGCCCCATTTCTTACATAAGAGCATTTCCCAAGCAAAAGTGATATTCCTAGAACTACATTTTTGTTAGAAAAATAGTCCAGAACAGAAACTTGATGTTATTTGGACAAAAGGGAGAGAGAGAGAACCAAAGAGAAAAAATAAGTGCCAGTCAATTCATGACAGCTTCTCAGATTCTACAAAGTTTGACTTTAAATCTTCCACTTAAAATCCACCGCTCATTCAAAATACCTTCTCTCTTAAGAAGGGCACTAGGAAACACTCTTGTATTTTAGAAAAATTAAAAAATTTGCAATATTGCCACCTCTCTTTTCAGGTTTTTCATATGACCCCCGCCTTACACATACTACCCTTTAGTTTTCAGTTTACATATTTAAATCTATTTTCCACTGTGCCTGACATAATATTCATTTTGTCTTGCAACACACCCCTGCTTCCTCTGTTCCAGCCTTCTTTTTTTCTGAATTAAGACATGTATACAGGGACCTTTTAGGGTCTTTCCCTATTTATTTCCTAGACATGCTACTGGAAAATTAGCATTTATGGCAGTATATAGAAGTAATGCTTGGTGTCCAGATGCCCTTGGGACTTTGGTTTGTGAACAGTTCCTGGGCCAGTTGTTAGAATGTAGTAGCATGCTGACTGGCTGTTCCCCCTGGCAGATCTGATGAATGGCAGCTCTGGTGAGAAACACCTGGGTGGGACAAGCAAACATTACCAGATTGTAGTCAGAAACCACAAATAATTCTCACATGCCCAATTGAAAAAAATATCCTCCCATGTGCTGTAGAATAAACATGACCCCTACTCTCAACAGCACCCTTAGTAGTCAAGATTCTAGAAACACCAGCCTTTCAGGTTTTCTTAGGAAACAAGTATACTAGATACTTTTGAATTTTATAATAAGGAAGCCTATTTATATGGATTTCCTATTTTTATTTTCTGAAAGGTTGAATTGGACTGGCTTTGAGAGTGTTGCAGGGGATCTGTGGAAAGAACTTATGAATACACATTGATCACTTCTAGGTCTCCCTTGTATCTGATAATTAGCTTGTATCTTCCCATTTAGGTTAGTGCTAGCCTCCATTTGTATAGTGTATCCAAGCTTCTAATTCATACTTTAGTGGATTTAGGAAAAAAAGGTGACCCAGACAGTTGGGTGAAACTGAAGAGATCCTCTTACATGCAAGTATACTGTGTAGATCTGGAGTAGGAATACAAAACATCAGGTCTGATGAAATGTGCCAAATCAAGCCAGACATGCATATCCATAGTAACTGATCAAGCTTTTAAGTAGGCATGAATTGAGGATCAAAAGCCGAGGTGTGAAGCCAAATGAGGTTCAGAGATGTTAGAAACAAAGAGCAGCAGGTCTAAGCAGGAGAAGCAGTGCATATTATTCTCAAGAAAAGAGCATTTCACCTTCACCCACAGCTGACTTTTTACAAATTAATAGTTTGTGTTTGCTTGGACAAGTTAGTCCAATGAAGAGGCTGAGTTGAGATGAACATATGTCCCCAAGAAATGCTTCCCTAGGCAGAGTGGGGTTTTTACAGGTTTACCCATAGAAAGCCCTAATGCAATCTAATACATTCCTGGGGTGGTAGGGAGTTTCTATGACTACTTTTGTGATCTTGACCCCTTCCAGGGAACCAGGTACCAAAACTGGCCATTGTCTCACCATGATTATGGCATATTTTCCATGTTATAATTGTATTCTCTTACTTAGGTTGGATAAATTAGTAGGATATATGGTGGAGGGTCATACCAGATGAAGCATAGCATAAAAACTGGAATGAATGTTTATAAATTGGCATTCGTATATATTATAAAATTGTAGGGAGGGGAACCAAATGGGGTCTCCCATTTGGATACCCTTGCCCATGCCTTTGTATTGGTTAGAATACTCTTTATATGTCTCTATATGCTGTCAAGATATTGGTGAAACTAGGAGATACAAGGAGGTAGCAAGATTGGCAATCATAATTGCTCTGAAAGAGAATGTTCAGGTGCAGAAGTACAGTGAATTTTTATAAGGGAATATCATGGTAGTAAGATAGTTAGCCCAGCTGGATTATCATTAGGAGATATAGCAGCAGTCATCTTCCAGTACCTTGTTTGGTATAAGTGATCCTGGCATTAGTCTACAGATGTTTGGCAAGAGGATATAGATATGTGAGGCTTTCACCAGCAGGATTCAAATGTGCAATAAAAACAAAGGATATAAACTATGTACAGTAGTTAATATCTGGCAGTTGGAAATCCCATAAAAGTGAAAGACTTTCTTCAAGAATGAAGTATCCATGGCCTGTGCTGTAAAGGACATGAAAGAAATCAATTTTCATGGATAAGGTAACCATGGAGTTAGATTTCTTTTACGAACAAGATGGCCATTACTCGGTCAGAGAAAAAGGTGGAACGCTTTTTATTATCAAGGTAGCCATGGCTGGTACAGATACAGAAAGTGGAAGCCTTCTTTCATGAAAAAAGTAGCCATAGGCCATTGCAAATTGAAAGTGAAAGACGTGAACAAAGTAGCCATGGTCAATGCTGACAAAAAGAGAAGATTTGTTCATGAACCAAGTAGACACATTGGCTAGACCAGTAAAACAAATGGAAGATTTCTTTTTTGAACAAAGTAGCTATGTGGTCAGTACAAAGATGATGATGAAAGATTTATTTTGTGAAGCTATGATTGGTACAAATTGGGAGACCAAAGACATTTTATGATCCAAGTAGACATGACTAGTACAGACCAGAAAGCAAACCACAGTGAGGTTGATATAATAAAAACACCATAGATCGGATGGTTTATAAGCAACAGAAATTTATTTCTTATAGTTCTGGAGGCTAGGAAGTCCAAGATCAAGGCACAGGCAGATTTGGTGTTATGAGTTTTCCACCTTCAAGACTTAAGCACCTCGCAAAAGTCCCACCTCATAATACCATCACGTTGGGGGTTAGGATTTCAACATATGAGCTTTGGGGGGATGCAAACATTCAGACCATAGCACACATCTTTTGTAAACAAAGCATTACCAATTGTGCTGACAAAGAGGTGAAAGTCTTCTTTCCTAAACAAGATAACCATGGCCAATACAAGGAGCAATAGAGAAGACTTTTTAATAAAAAATGTACTCGTTGTCATTATAGGCATGGAAGGTTGAGCAAGAATACATGAACAAAGAATTTTTTGTGTGTGTGAGGAAGATCAGCTCTGAGCTAACATCTGACAATCCTCCTCTTTTTGCTGAGGAAGACTGGCCCTGGGCTAACATCCATGCCCATCTTCCTCCACTTTATATGGGACGCCGCCACAACATGGCTTGACAAGCAGTGCGTCGGTGCGCACCCGGGATCCAAACCGGCAAACCCCAGGCTGCCACAGCCAAGCGCACGCACTTAACCATTTGTGCCACTGGGCCGGCCCCATGAACAAAGAACTTATGGCTGGAGCTCTTTATATATTTTTTCTTGTTGATTTTCAACAATATATAATGTGTAAAAATAATACCAGCCAACACTTCTAGTACTTTAGTTTTAGGTGTTTTACATACATTATTGTATTTAATCTTGAAAACAACCTAGGAAGTAGGTATTATTGCTGTTGTTATCCCCATCTTACAGAGGAGAAAACTGAGGCATGAGGTAATTAAATGAATTGCTCAAGATTATGCAGTTAGTAAGTGATGGAGCCATACTTCAAATCCCAGCAGTATAACTGTAGACATTCTACTCCTAACCACTTTATGATACTTTCTATGCAGGGAAGTGGGAGATTTATATAGTGAAAAAAAACTAGCCATGGCAAGTTCAAAGAGGGAGAGAGGAGACTACTTATCACAGCAAAGCAGCTATGACTGAAGCACATAGGGAAGTTGAAGACTTCTTTCATGAATAATGGAGCCATGCTTGGGGAAGACAAGAAAGTAGGAATATGTATGTAGAGTGTGGGTGTGTGGGTGTGTGAGGTGGGAAAGAAGGGAGAATTTGTCTCAGCAAGGTCATAGAGATGGAACACTTTTTCCTAAATAAGGTAGTTATGTCCCTTGCAAGCGTGAAAAGAGTTCTTTAGTTAATAAATTTGCTATGGCTAGTGAAGATCGAGAGGTTGGAGATAGAAGATGTGTTTACTAAGTACGTTGTCTATGGATATTGCAAAAGAAATATGAAAGATTTATTTCATGAACAAGGTGGTCAGCTATGACAAGTTTAAATTGTGAATTAGAAGACTTCTTGAATGAGCAAAGTAGCCATAGCTGGGCAGATAAGAGGGACAGAAGACTACTCTTTTGGACAAGTGACCATTGCTAATGCAAAGAAAGATATAGGAAAACTTTCTTTAAGAATGAGGTAACCATGCCTAATTTAGAGAACAAAACAATCATTGCTGGGATGCTTAGAGACTAGGAAGACTTGTTTCATTATTTAAAAAAAACAAAAGGAAACGTATGCCCAGTCCAGACATAGTGATATAAGACTTTTCATTAATAAACTAACTATAGATGAAGCAGGCAGGCATGAAGGGTGGAAGACTTCAGTCATGAACAAAATAGTCATTGCTGTGACAGCCATCAAGATGAAATAAATTTTGTTAATTAAATTGCTATAACCAGAACATACAAGGAAATGGAAGACTTTCATCAATAAGGTAGGCATCTCTAAGGTAAATGGGGCAGTGGGATGATAAGAGTTGAAAATGATATACCTGCAGCCACTGCAGAAAAAAAATCAAAATTTTCCTTTAAGAGTTTCCTTTTTTTCTGAACAAAGTAGCCCTGACCAATGAAAATTGGGAGATGGAAAATTTCTATCCTGAATCATGTTGTCATTGCCAATGTAAATAAAAATGTCAAAGGCTTATAAATAAAGCATCTGTAGCATTTGAGGCTAGAGAAATAGAATGATTATTTAATTAAAAGGGGGGGAACTTCCCATGCTTAATCCAGACATGGAAGTAGAATAAGTACTCAAAGAAACAATGGCTAAAAATTTTACAATTTTAGCAAAATCATAAGGCTACAGATAAAAGAAGCTGAATGAACCCAAAGAAATCTATGCTGAGATACATCATTATCAAGCTCATAAAAACTAGAGAAAAAAACGTTGACACACCTGTCAGAATGGCTATTATCAAAAAGACAATAAATAACAAGTGTTGGTGTGTCTGTGGAGAGAAAGGAACCCTCGTACACTTTGTGGGAATGTAAATTTCCACTATGGAAAACAGTATGAAGGTCCCTCAAAAGATCAAAAACAGAACTACCATATAGTCCAGCAATTCCACTTCTGGGTATTTACCCAAAGAAAATGAAAACACTAATTCAAAAAGATATATGCACCCCTATGTTTATTGTAGCATTATTTACAATAGCCAAAATAGCAAAGCAACCTAAGTGTCCATTGCACTGTTGGTAGGAATGTAAATTGGTACAGCCACTGTGGAAAACAGTATGGAGGTACCTCAAAAAATTAAAAATAGAACTACCATGTGATCCAGCAACCCCACTTCTAGGTGTATACCTGAAGGAAATGAAATTACTATCTTGAAGAGATATCTGCATTCCCATGTTCTTTGCAGCATTATTCACAATAGCCAAGATATGGAAATAACCAAAGTGTTCATTGATAGATGAATGGATAAAGAAAATGTATAAAATACCATAAGATTGATTTCACTTATATAGAATCTAAAAAACAAAACAAATGACAAACAAAACAAACAAATTCATAGATAAAGGAAAAAACTGGTGGTTGCCAGAAGGGAGGGGGGTGGGAGGATGGGCAAAATAAGTGAAGAGGGTTAAGAGGTACAAACTTCCAGTTATAAAATAAATGTCAGGAGGATGTAATATACAGCATAGGGAATATAGTCAATAATATTGTAATAACTTTGTAGGGTGACAGATGGTTACTACATTTGTCAAGGTGGTCACTTCATTATGTACATAAATGTCAAATCGCTAAGTTGTATACCTGAAACTAATATTATTGTGTGCCAACTATACTTCAAATACAAAAGAAAAATCTTGACAACAGCGAGAAAAATGACACTTTACCTCTGGGAGAACAGCAATTCGAATGACAGCAGGATTTTTCATCAGAAATTATGGGAACCAGGAGGAAATAGTACAACTATTTTTTTATTGTGGTAACATTGCTTTATAACATTATATAAATTTCAGGTGTACATCATTATATTTCAGTTCCTGTATATATTACACCATGTTCACCAGCCAAGGACTAATTACAATCCATCACCACACACATGTGCCTAATCCTCCCTTTCGCCCACCTCCCTCCCCCCACCCCACTGCTAACCACCAATCCCGTCTCTGTCTCTATGTGACTGGTTGTTGTTGTTTTTATCTTCTACTTATGAGTGAGATCATATGGTATTTGACTATCTCCCTCTGACTTATTTCACTTAGCATAATAACCTCGAGGTCCATCCATCTTGTCACAAATGGCCAAATTTCAACATTTCTTATGGCTGAGTAGTATTCCATTGTGTATATCACATCTTCTTTATCCATTCATCCCTTAGTAGGCACTGAGGTTGCTTCCAAGTCTTGGCTGTTGTGAATAACGCTGCAATGAACACAGGGGTGCATGTATCTTTACACATTGGTGTTTTCATGTTCTTTAGATAAATACCCAGCAGTGGAATAGCTGGATCATATGGTAGTTCTATTCTTAATTTTGAGGAATCTCCATACTGTTTTCCATAGTGGCTGCACCAGTTTGCACTCCCATCGGCAGTATATGAGAGTTCCCTTCTCTCCACATCCTCTCCAACACTTGTTGTTTCCTGTCTTTTTAATTATAGCCATTCTGAGTGGAGTGAGGAGATATCTCAAGGTAGTTTTCATTTGCATTTCCCTGATGGTTAATGATGATGAACATCTTTTCATGTGCCTGTTGGCCATCTGTATATCTTCTTTGGAGAAATGTCTGTTCAGATCTTTTGCCCATATTTTAATTGGGTCATTAGTTTTTATGTTATTGAGATGTAAGAGTTCTTTATATATTTTGGATACTAGACCCTTATCAGATATGGCTTGCAAATATCTTCTACCCATTGATACATTGTTTTTTCCTTTTGTTGATGATTTCCTTTGCTGTGCAGAAGATTATTAGTTTGATGTAGTCCCATTTGTTTACCTTGTCTATTGTTTCCCTTGCCCGGTCAGACATGGTGCTTGAAAACATGTTGCTAAGACCGATGTCAAAGAACATACTGCCTGTTTTCTTACAGAGTTTCATGGTTTCAGGTCTTACATTCAAGTCTTTAATCCACTTTGAGTTAATAT